TAGATCTACCTTTCCTGGCCAAAACAAAGCTATTTGATTTTTATTAAGGTTAATGCATAACCTCTCTGAATTTCATTAATTTTTAATCAGTTCTCTCTCACTTCCTTTCAACACTTACAGGGGGCTTATAAGAAAAATGGGTATAGAGCTTTCAGCAGGGCTTGTTCCAATAGAATGAAGGGTAATGTTTTTAAATTGAACTAAAGGTAGATGTACAGTATAAGGAAGAGATATTTTATGATGATGGTGGTGCAGCACTGAAACAGGTCACCCAGAGCAGTGGTAGCTGCCTGATACCTGGAACCATTCACAGTCAGATGTGACAAGGCTCTGAGTATCCTGATCTAGCTGGAGATACCCCTGCTCATTGTAGGGAAGCTAGAATAGATGACCTTTAAAGGTCCCTTCCAATCCAAACCGTTCTGATTATGTGATTTACTAACAGAAATACTGAACGAGACTGTTGCATTCACACACCTTTTAGATGGATGGAGCAGAGAGGTTTGGAAAGATGATTTATTAAGAGAAGACGGTGACTGTCAGCCAAGTCATGGACACTCCTGGCATGCCCAGGCTCTGAAGAGAGCAGCCAATTGGGTCTTTCTCTGGTGCTCCTGAGAAAGAATCATCACAGGTCACAAGGATGCACTGCCTGAGAATAAAAATGCCACAGACCCAGGTTGCTGCTGTTTTGTGAGGAGGGTGTCAGTCCCCCATTTATCCTCCCTTATAGTATAGCCAGCAACATACTCTTTCCTGTGGTTGTTTTGTAGCTATCTGCTGAAGTATACAGAATAACTATTTCAGGATTTATTAAGTTTGGTTCCAAAAATTACTGAATGTTGGCAGCAATGCTTTTGCCATTTCTAAGCCTATAAATGGACAATTCTAATAAAATAAATGTTCTATAGACTTGTGAGACTTGTTATACACTTATTTCTAAGTGTAGATCTCTTGAGTCTACCAGACTGTGTTTTGGTTAAATATACCAAAACACACAGTTCTTCACTCTTCAGTTGAGCTTTGCACTTTCTGTGCACATGAACTTCTTAATGTGAACTGGCTGCACAGAACTTGGTGGTAGCCAGAGAGTTGGATGACTCTGGACATCTGCATCATCATCTCATTTGTACCATACCATCACAGCAAGCAAATAGTGAATATAAAGTGAAATTTACCATGCATTTCCTCCATGCAATCTTCAGTAACTCCTGCTTCAAAGTATACCAACAAAAGGTCAATTGTCATTGAAACAAAGCAAGTAGCATCAGCCTTGCTGATTTAAGGATTTTCTACAAAGCTTCAAAGTGTGCTGTGAATAGTTAGTGGTTTTCACCAGTTTAGGATAGTCTGGATTCTTTCTCTCTTCGGGTGTTCAAACATCTGAAAACATTCTGCAGATCACAGTTAATGTTTCCAGCTGAAGCACAGTCTCAGCACATCCAGTATTTTACATGTCTAATTGCAGCAGCTGTGGTTGTATTGACCCATCTTATATTGCAGACATAATATTAACATCTCTTCCACACAGTGGAATTTTAATCTAGAAGTGATCAGCATTTAGTCTGTCTGCATTTGTGCCCTTGTTTCTAGAAACCATCATCTTTCAGCAAACAATTCAAACCAGCTGTCTTTGACTTTTATAAACGTTTGCTAAATTAGAAAAAAAAGAGGAATACAAAGTTAGTAATTTCATTTATATTTCATCAGATTATTGCTATAAGTAGTGGCTTCCATCAAAATAGCTTCATCTAATTCCCAATCAATAAATCATGAGCAGTTATATTTCTCTGCTCACCATACCAAATGGCAATCTTCTTGTCAGTGTCTTCATGAGTGTTACTGACTATAACCCCAGGAATAATGTCAAAAGCAATAACTTTCTGGTAGCTCTGGGTTCCCTGTCATACTCCAGCTGTGAATGCACTGCATTTTTTCATAGTTCTAGAACTGCTTTCCATGCCAGTCAAAAATACTTTCTCTACTAGCACTAACATCCAAAAACTTCTGTCATACAAATACATCCAGTTTTAACATAAAAAAATCTCTCGGTACCTTTTCATATGGTAAAAAACCAATATGGCTCTCTGTTTTTTGCCAAATACTAGCACTTATGGTGTGGACTTAAAATACACATAACTTGTAGTTCAACAGTTACTATTTTAAAAGTTAAAAAAAATACAGTTAAAAAATTTCTTATCTTAAATCACAGTATATGGCTCAAGATTAAAATTTTATGACTGCAGTCCCATGGCAGGAATCAACACTTAATGCACTGAAAACTCATACCAGCCTGAGTCACAATCTCAAGAACTGAAGAATGTTATTCTTTCAAACCCTTCTTTCATTATGGAGGTCAAGTCCTTAAGCTCAAGACTACAAGAGACCCCAGTGATGGATGGAGGGGAAAAGCTGATGACAGACTTTGTAGAAAGAAGTATTTTTTAGGTGGATGCGAGCAAACTAGCTTGTTAACTGTTATGACTGATTTTTTTTTTTTTTTTAAGTAAAATTCTCGACATGTTAGGTTTGGTACAAGAATTATTTACATAAAATAAAAAACTATTTATGTAACAGGAAAAGAGAACATATATCACAGTGGTGGTCCACTAATTTACTAGTATCAGAGAACTAAAGAAAGCTTAGCCTAACAAAATACTTTATTCAGAAATGTGCTCCACATGATTGTTTTTATTAATTATTTAAGCTCTATGTTGAACAAACAATGGAACCAGAATCAGGTACTAGAAAACTGACATACAAACCTCTCTAAATCTCCTTGTGTCACTGTTGTCAGGCTTCATAAAATAGTCTGATTCTACCTTTGATGTTCTGTCACACTTGGAGAGAATTAATCTTCAGCTTGTGTTTTTAAACAAGCACAGCTCATTTTCTTTTGTTGTCTTCAGACTTTTAAAAAATTCTTTACTGGAATATGATGGCGGAAACCTCATCATAGAACACAGGAATTGTTACTTCCTAGTATCCTTACCATGAAACCCTTCACAGGTGTACTGTGAGTGTTACACAACTAAAGCCCTTCCAGCCAACAGAATTGGGCCATAAAACAGTTGAGACATCAAAGGGTCGTTAACACTCTGGAGCTCACAGGTCTGTAAACCTCAAAGCCCCATGACAAGCTCCTTCCTACACGCAAATATATTTTCATACACTCTTTGGTTATCAATTCATTTCCCAATTATCTTTGCTCTCTACCCAAATGCAGATGGCCTGTGAAGAGCTATACAGAATTTTCACCCAATCATACTGTCTAACCAAAGCATCTCTCTGTCAAGCAAGACTTTAATGACTCTCTTTTCCTCCTGCCATCTATTTTCCCAGCACCACTCCATCCCTATTCTGGCTCATCTTGTTTTAACTAATATAAACCCAAACGGATTCACCCACATCTCACTGGATACCAGGCTGCTGCTAAACACCTAAGCAAACTTCAGTCACATTGTCTTGGTCCTGCCACTGCTACAGCATTTATAAATGGTGCATCTCGATCTTCCTTCCCTGGCTCCTTGCCTACTCACACAGCTGCTTTTTGCACATCACAACTCTCTCATCGCAGCTACCAAAGCCAGTTTCTTCCTCCTTCCACTGCCTGTACCTGGCAAAAAAGCATCTTCTTCCATTTCCACCAGCTAACGTGGCTCACCACTGAAGCAGATCTGTCACATCTAGGCTCAGCCTGTCTTTAGCTTGCCTAACAAGCTCCCAGAGGTGAGACGTATGGCAACTGTTGTTAAGGGACTACTACAGGCTCCTGAAACAGAGAGCCTGGTTCTAGTAATGCTAAGGCTGTGGGTTCAACCCGTCTGTGGGCACTGGAGAGGTGCACCTGATGATTCCTACAGGTTCCTTTCAACTCCGAATATTCTGTGATTCTGTAAAACGGCAAACGTGGCACTGGCATCCTGAGGGGGGCTGCTCGCCTGCCTCACCTCGAAACCGCGAGTATTTCTGACTTTGGCCACGTAAACCCAACTCCAGAGCTGCGTGCCACTGCCGGGCCCTGCGAGCCGCACCGACACCGACACCGGCCGGGCGAGCTCCGAGCCGGGGGCCGCCGGAGCCGCCCCCGGGCAGGGCAGGGCCGGGCAGGGCAGGGC